AGGCCAAGCCTGTGAGATCAAATCGGTCTTTGGGAGGTAATTGGCAGGAGGCGGTCTCTCAGGTACCCAGGTCCGATGCCATGCAGGAGTTTATAAGTAACGACCAGCACCTTGAAGCGTGTCCAGAGACCAATGGGTAGCCAGTGCAGCTCGCGGAGGATAGGTGTAACGTGGGTGTACCTAGGTGCACCCACAATCACTCGCGCAGCTGCATTCTGGACTAGCTGAAGTCTTCGAACACTTTTCAAGGGCAGCCCCATGTAGAGCGCATTACAGTAATTAAGAGAACTGTGGATAAAATGGTTTGTGCAAGCATCTCAATGCAGTTTATTAAAGCAGCTGCATCCTTTCTGGGTTTGTTCAGCACATTTGAGGACCAATGGAAGAGAATACTTGTAGCTCAGGGTTGAAATGCGGGGTCTTTGATGCTCTCTGAGCTTGGTTGTGTGCTTTCTTGCAGACTTTATATTACCCTTTTTTTGTCTTTTAATGACCCCGTAACCCCTTGTGGGGTGGAGTCAGAGCAACTGAATGGAGCTGTTTAATGGACGGATGCCCTTCCTGTCACCACTGTGGAGTTTGCAGCCAATATATTCTCATTGTGCCCAGAGAACCAGCCCGAACCGTTAGCATTTCACCTCTGATCTAAAGCATGAACAGCTATTTTTTCCCCAAATCCTGAAGGATATGATAGAGTCTCCATTCCACTTGCAAACATTTTGCAGCCATTGATTTATTGCTGCGTTTTCTCCCTCCCTCCCTCTCTCTCTCTCTCTCTCCCCCTCCTAAATTCACTTTCTGATTTTTCTTTGAACCGTAGAGCGCTCGAGATGAACCTATTCATATCCTGAATGTCGCCATTAAGACGGATTGCGATATCGACGATGAAGGTCTCGCTGCCATGTTCCGGGAATTCACACAGAGCAAGGTGAGCTGGGTGGCCCATTCTCTGGTTATTTGTTTTTCTTTCATTTGTCCAGCGAAGTGGAATGCAGATTCTATCCGTCATTGCTACAGTCTTCCTCCTTTTTTTCTATATATATATATTTTAAAAATTTGGAGCTGTCCGCTTATCTTTAAGGACAAGTGTCAACTCCTTGGGACAATGGCCTCGTTGTTTTTTTTTTTACTATTATTATTATTATTCTGGAATGGTCCCTGATAGCACTATAGAAAATAATAACATGGCTGAGCAGCTCTCTTGTCTAAGCTATTTGTAAATAATTGTAGAAGTCACCCAGCAGTATCACTTCACAAGTGAAGAAGGGGTGCCAACTGATGAGATCTTAAAAGGTAGTGTCTCTTTTCTCATTTTTTTTAACTCTGCCAGGAGAAAAACCACCTTCATGCCAAGACCGACCTTGCTTTTTATGCCAAGAGAGTGGGTCAAATTAGACTTCTATGGAGACCCCATTCTTGGTCTGTTTAGACCAGGGGTGTCAAACTCGATTTCATTGTGGGCCGCATTAGGGTTGTGTTTGACTTTGGAGGTTGGGGTGGATATAGCCAGCTTACATCACTCTTGTTGATGCACCTCAGTGGTGGGTTTCAAAAAAATTTGGAACCTCTTCTGTAGGTGTGGCCTGCTTTCCGGGTCCACTGGTGGAACCTTTCCTAACTGGTTTAGTAGATTTGACGAACCGGTTGTATCAAACTGGTGCGAACCGGTAGGAACCCACCTCTGGTGCACCTGTGGTGGCCCAAGTGCTCTGCCAGCAAAAACGGGCTCCCGAGTTCCATTTTCGGCTGCAACTGTCTCCTGCAACCCTCTGCCAATGAAAACAGAGCTCAGGAGGGCTGCCTGCGACCCTCACGAGTTCCGTTTTTGCTGGCACAGGCACCATGGGCCAGTCCTTCGCTGTTTCCTGGGTGCAGGCCAGATCTAAGCACCCCGTGGGCCGGATCCAGCCCCCAGGCCTTGAGTTTGATACCTCTCGTTTAGACAAAATATAGGTAATCCTCAACTTACGACGAGTGGAACCCTGAATTTCTATTGCTAAGTGAGACAGCTGCTCAATGAATTTTTTCCCTTTTTACGATCTTTCTTGCCATAGTTATTGTTAAATTAGTAACATGGTTGTTAAGTGAATCAGGCTTCCCCATTGACTTTGCTGATCAGAAGGTTGCACAAGGTGATCACATGACCCCCGGGACACTGCAACCGTCATAAACATGAGTCAGTTGCCAAGCATCTGAATTTTGATGATATGACCCTGAGGGATGCTGCAACAGTCGTTAAGTGTGAAAATTGGTCATAAGTCACTTTTTTCAGGGCCGTTGTAACTTTGAATGGTCATTAAATGAACCGTTGTAAGTCGAGGACTGCCTGTAAGTGATTGATACTTAAAAACAAATGAAGACCTTCCTTTTTACAACTGGACTGGAACAAAAGGAAGCAGATTTGAATGTCCTACTACCATGATGGTGGCACGTAGAGCCCTCTCTGCGGTGACGCGCGCCCATCGCCAGCTGCTCTTCGTGGGCGCTATAGCACCGGAAAATGGCAAAAAAAGGAAGGTCATTTTCCGGCCTGCTTTTGGGCTCGTTTTCAGTCTGTTTTTCAGGCTGAAAACGGCCTGAAAAACAGCTTGAAACGGCCCAAAGAACAGCCTGAAAACAGCCAAAGAAACACCAAAAAAACTGGCATGAACATGCTGGCCAGCTAGTCTTCGGTTTTCTGGTGCTCTGGCGCACACACATGCATGCACATGCACACACGTTCCAGTTTTGGCACTCGGTGCTGAAAAGGTTTTATTGTCCTACTTCATTTCTGGAAGGCATTTCACAGCATTTGTAAAAAAAAAAAACTGGTGGCGCAGTGGTGAGAATGCAGTATTGCAAGCTAACTCTGCCGCCTGCCAGCAGTTCGATCCTGACCAGCTCAAGGTCGACTCAGTCATCCATCCTTCCGAGGTCGGTAAAATGAGGACCCAAATTATTGGGGACGATAGGCTGACATTTCTAAACCGCTTAGAGAGGGCTGTAAAGCACTACGAAGCGGTAGGTAAGTCTACTGTTGCCGTTTTATTAAAAACATTAAAACGATGAAATTGGCATCCCTTTTCCCCTTGTTTTTGTTTTGTTTTGTATTAATACATTATTATTTTTTTAAAAAAAAAA